TTATTATTTTTTTTTTGTTTGTTTGGTATTTTGCTTGAATTCTTCACACATATGCCACCATCTCTTCGTTACTTCTTTCAATGGGCACACGCGTGCCTGCATCGTTCTCTCCCGCTCTTGCTACGTAGTTTTCCTCACGAGGCAAGAAAGTTGAAGTGTCAAGAGTCTGGAGGGAACGTGATGTCGTCCGAATCATTTTTTTTTTCTTGACTCTCTCTCTCTCTTTCCTTTTTTTTTTGACTGCAAATCTCCACTGTTTAGTTGAAAGATAAAACGAGGGGTCATTGACGCCGCCGAGGGGCACACACGCACGTACGCACGCAACTCAGGAAAAGGGGGGGAGGTGTGTGACTCCGGGTTTTTATCCCTCCGCAGTCTCATTCTACTTCGTGAAGGGTGAGCGACAAACTGGCGCCTTCCTTTTTTTATTTTTATTTTTCAAAATAATAATAATTTATTATTATTATTTTCGATCTCACATTTGTGTGTAGTCGTGTGTGCTTTTCGTTGAACCTCCGTGACACATATAACTACTGGCAAACACGGCGCACCGAAATTAAAAGTAAATTGACCTGGCTTGGAGGAGGAGGAGGCCGTGGAGCGAGTCCTTGCTTCACCGCATTGCAGATACGCCAAGCTACACGGAGGTGCACACTGGGGCAGCAAAACAGTCAAACCTTTGCGCCGGTTTCCGCTTTTTAAATACAAATAAATATACTGCTGTTGTGGAGTTTCGTATTGTATTTTTTGCTCTGCGCGTTTACGCACGCTCTCGAAGTCTCTTTTTCCCTCGGGGCATGCGTGGCTGTGTGGGAGCGCGAGACCATGTGTCAGCGGCCGCAACGTGTTCCATGCCGTATTGTGCCCCCCGGTGTCGCAGTGCCTCTTCAGCGCGAGACTGCCTCCTCCATCTTGCCGTGCAGCTGCAGCCTGAACACGGTGGCCCTATTTCCAGAGGGGCCACCTTCTCCACCTCTGCCACTCTCTCGCTGTGAACTTCATGAGCTCCTCCTGGCACTCCCACAGAGCCTGCATCACTCGCCATGGCGTGTCTGCTACGACACGGAACATGATGGATTCTCGTTGCAGCATTTCTACCGTACGATGAAGCAAGTTCGCGACGAGGGCGAGCATGGCATAGGCATCTTTGTGGTGAGTGATGGTGTGCCAAACGCAACACTGCCCACAGCTTTAGAGGGAACTCCGTCAGGGCCAAAGAATCAGAGTGGTGTCTCCGCACCGCCAAATGTTGTCGTGCTGGGCTGCTTCACACCGGAGGTGCCATGCTTGGAGCACTCCCAGCACGCCTTCTTTGGAACTCAGGACACGTTTGTCTTTACGTACGCTGATGTGAACCGCTACGCACCTGAGCAAATGCGTGGGGGCCGGCAGAATGCAGTTGGCATGATGCCGACACAGGCCTCACCTAGGGCGGGTCAAATTGCCTTGAATCGAAAAACGGCAATGCACGTGTCAACGTCGTCAGTGCAGTTGCCTGCATTCTCAGACCCGGCGGTCCTGCCTTGTATTTTGTCTGTTTACCCCTGGACGTTGGAGGAGGGAAACAATGAATTTATGGTGTGCTCCAATAATTTTTTTGGTATTGGTGGTGGATCCGACGGGGCGGCAATATTTGTTGATGCCAGCTTGTCGCATGGAACCAGTAGCGTTTACTGCAGCACCTTTGCGTCACCCCCGTTGGGTGGACGGCTACGAGCGACACTGCGACACTCAGAGTTTACGGTACTGCGAATGATATGGTTCAAGGTGAAGGATAGAAAAGAGATCTTCACTTGCATGAATTTTCCAAAGTGTGAGCCATGCAACTGCGGGAGGGTGCTGGAGGTTGATGACGGGAATTGCACGGTACGAGTACGCCACCGTGGGCATAACGCTGCTTGGCACCGATGCAATGAGAGCCATCAAACCCTTTTTGGCACAGTTGCTGGTCGTGAAGAGGGGGTGGTAGGAGAAATAAATGACAAAAAAAAGGAGGAAAAACACCAATGTGTACATATGTGATGTAGTATCGTTGTTGTTGTTGTTGTTGTTGTTTTTGCTTGTCATTGGCTGTGGTGATGGGGGCAGAGTAACCGCCATAGTGCGTGTCTTTGTACGGCATTTGCTGATTGGGGTCCCTGGTTCGAGACTACATTTGTGGCAGATGCCACTTGTGCTGGTGGTGCCACCTCCTTGCTGGCGTCACGTTTGATGCAATGGATTCAATGCGTTTGGGGTTCTTATGTTCTTTTTTTATTTTTAATTTTAATTTTTTCCTCACCGTTGTGGATGCCTATGGAGGTGTGGAAGTTCGCATTGTAGTTGTTGCGTTTTGCTTTGCTACTGCTGTTGCACGTGGCCAAAAACACTTTTGGGCAAAATGTGCGGTATATTTGGATATGTCAATTACAACACGCGACGGACGATGCGAGAGATTGTCAACGTGCTAATGGACGGTTTGAGGCATGTGGAGTATCGTGGGTACGACAGCGCCGGCCTCTGCGTGGACGGCTTTGATGATGCTCATACACCTGTCGTGATTCGTAGCGTGGGGAATATTGACCAGCTGCGTACGCTTGTTTTCAGCGATGAGAATGCTGTTTTGTTGAATCTCGGCGCAGCCTCTGACGTTCATGTCGGTATCGCCCATACTCGCTGGGCCACGCACGGCACCCCGTCTGTGAAGAACGCCCACCCGCAATGCAGCAATAACCGGGCGTTTGTTGTGGTGCACAACGGCATCATGACAAACTTCATGCGGGTGAGGCAGCTCTTGTTGAATAAGGGCTATAAATTTGGTAGTGACACTGACACGGAGGTGATTGCAGTGCTGGCGGAGGATCTACATGCGCATGAGCCGCAACTCTCCTTTGTTGAGCTCGCGACAAAGCTCACCTCCATAGTGGAGGGTGCGTATGCGATTTTAATCAAATCGACTGTCTTTCCTGGTGAACTCATCGCATGTCGTAAGAGCTCCCCGCTTGTGATTGGTGTTTGTCGTGGAGAGGCAAACGGTTGCACGTCTGGCGCAAAGGAACCACTACTCACAGAGTTGTATTTTGCCTCCGACGTGAACTCTTTCATTTCCCACACGCGCGAGGTTATTTTTCTTGACGATGACGATATTGCGCACTACCACGATGGTGCACTGGCCATTTACTCCTCCACAATCCCCGCTCATCCCAACACCGCTGTTGTGGCTAGGCCTGTCGCCCGTAAGACGCAGAACGTTGGCCACGCTTTTGAGGAGATTTCCAAGAATGGCTACAAACACTTTATGCTGAAGGAAATTGACGAGCAGCCAGAGAGCGTCACACGAACTATGCGCGGCCGCATAGACTTTGTGAAGGGTGAGGTGAACTTTGATGGCATGGATGCGAGTGCGATGGTGGCCCTTTCCACGGCACGTTGCATCATGTTGATTGCATGTGGAAGCTCATACCACAGCTGTCTTGCTGTTCGTCCTATCTTTGAAGAGCTGCTGCCGAACATCTCTGTTGTGGTGGAGGGGGCCGCAGACTTTAACGACAGAAAGCCACGTGTTCAACGCGGTGACGTCTGTGTATTTGTTTCCCAGTCTGGTGAGACCGCTGACACCCTGGTGGCGTTGCAGCATTGCAAAAAAGGTGGTGCGGTGCTTGTCGGGGTGACAAATGTCCTGGGTTCGTCTGTGGTTCGGCAAGCCGATCATGCCTTCTTCCTTAACGCCGGTGTGGAAGTGGGGGTCGCCTCAACGAAGGCCTATACGTCGCAGGTCGTTCTACTCACCCTTTTAGCCCTGCTGCTGAGCCAAACAGAGGGGAGTGAAAAGAATGGCAAGCACCCCACAGGAAATGTGCCCAAGGATGTGAGGGAGGACGAAAATAAGGAAGCGGCAGAGAGTAAGCGACGCATTCAGAAGCGACGTGCAGAGATTCTCACTGGACTTGCTGCCCTCCCTGCAGCCATTTCACAGTGTCTGAAGACTGTCCGCGACACTATCATCTCTCTCGCAGAGGAATGGCAGGACATTTCTACCCTACTTGTGATTGGTCGAGGCTACGACTATTCCACAGCACTAGAGTCCGCCTTAAAGATAAAGGAGGTAGGCTACGTCTACACCGAGGGTATTCACTCTGGTGAATTAAAGCACGGTTCGCTGGCTCTTGTGGATGCGCAAGCACGGGTGATTGCTTTTTGCGTCCATGACCGTTTTTTTGAGTTTAGCAAGAGTGCGATTCAGCAGTTAAAAGCACGTAATGGACGCATCGTGGCGATAACAACACAGAAGGACGCAGAAGTGGATAATGCCGCTGTGCGATGTGTGGAGGTGCCAGGCGTCGTGGATTGCCTACAGGGTGTCGTTAATGTTGTGCCACTGCAACTGCTTGCGTACTATCTCGCTCTGCAACGTGGAAACAACGTGGACTGTCCACGCAACCTTGCAAAGAGCGTCACCGTGCAGTGAGAGGGGCACGCACCACAACAACGGGACTATTCAGCTATCATGAAGGCGTTTTGTTTTGGAGGAGAGAGAGGGAGATAGGGAGGGTGGGTGGGACGTAAATTAATTGTTTTTACCCATTTTTTTTTGTTTTTGGTTTTGCCCGCGAGATGCATGAACGGTGATTTTCATACTCCGCTGGCAGGGGCGGCGAATGCTGATTGCTTGGGATTTGAGGTCGGTAGATGGGAGGGTGCAAATAAAACTAACGACGCAGGTATTATGTGTGTATGTGTGTTCTTCTCTTTTTTTGATGTAGAGGTTTTTCTTTCCGATTTGTTCTTTTTTTTTTGGTTTTTGCGATGGTGGTGAGAGATGCGCGCGTGGGTGCACCATTGTTTTGTATGGGATCTTATTTTTGTGCGCCCTCCTTTGTCTGCGGTTCGCTTCGCAGCGTCCATCTTCATACGCCTATTTGTAGTCAAGCCTTGGAGTGTGCATATATATATATATATATATATATATGTCTGTGGATGAATTTGTGTTGACCTGAGCACCCACACGTTGAGGCTCTAGTATATTTCACACGCCATCTCGATCAACCTCCTGATCCATCTACCTATGCCTATACATATGGGTTTACGAGATGGACGAGGATGTGTGTGAACATGTGCGTATGGAGATTCTCTTCTTTTTTGTGTTGTTGTTGCTTGAATTATTTCCCTTTTCATCTTCCTGCGTATACATCCATATATACATATATATTGTGTTCGCCGTGGGGTGTGTTGCACTCTGCTTGAATCTTCATCTCCGTGACCCCTGCTTGCGGTGGACATCCATGGGACGATACCATGGACTTCTTTGTCTTTTTTCTTTTTTCTCTTTCTTTCTCTACCTCATCGTCAGCGAAGACCCTGACACGTGTGAGATTGCAGTCAGTACGAGTGACGCCCCTGCATGTGGGGGCTTAGGTGTAGTGTCAAGCGTAACGAAAGGGGAGGGACTGAGGCCTTTGGTGGTGGCTGGGCGGGTCTGCGTAGCAACTTCAGTGAGGGGCACGAAGGAACCGCCATCTATCAGCCGGCACTTGAGAGGCGATTGCCGTGTCTTATTATTATTGTTGTTTTTCTGTTTCTCCTCGCCTGCTGTATTGACACATATACGTCCACGCATCCCTTGCTACTTCCTTTCTCGATTAGTGCGTCATGAAGTTTAGGGTGAAATTGTTTGACTCCGACCGCACGTATAAGCCTAAGAAAAAGCACAAGGAGGGAACAGAGCGCTACAACCTGCACAAATTTGCCAAGTCGCTTGTGCGTTCCGGTGACCTAAGCAAAGCGGTGCGGCTGCCACAAGGGGCCAACCTTAACCATTGGCTCTCAGTGCATACCGTCGACTTCTACAACATCACAAATGTTCTCTACGGCTCTCTCACGGAGTTCTGCACGACCAGCAGCTGCCCAGTGATGTCGTCGGGCCCTCGCTACGAGTACCTATGGAAGGATCCGCCGGAGTACCCAAAGGCGACCAAAGTGAGCGCCCCCGAGTACGTGCGACTACTTATGGAGTGGATTGAGAAGCAAATCAACGACGAACGCATCTTTCCCTCGGAGGATCGCAATCCCTACCCGCCGGATTTTCTAGACCGGGTCAAAACGTGCTTTAAGCGACTTTTCCGTGTCTACGCGCATGTATACTACTCTCACTTTGCAAAGATACGTGAGCTGCATGAGGAGTCCCACATTAACACGGCGCTTAAACACTTCATGTACTTTGTCTGGGAGTTTGATCTTATCCCACGGGAGGAGGTCTCGCCTCTGCAGGAACTCTTGATTAACCTCATGGGCCAGCGGGCGAAGGATAAATTAGAGGCGGCCTAGCAATGATGCATTTTCACTCACTAACCGGAAAAACAAACGTTGAGAGAAAAGGGAGGCGAATACACGTAAATAAACAACAACAAAAAACAATGGTGAAAAGACTACAGCTAGTAATTGCTGGAGCCCATGAAGAATAGAGGTGGGGCAGGGTATCTGTTTTTCTATAGGGGAGGGCAGCAAGGGTGACCAGGAAGATGGAACCTCTTTCTTTCTTTCATTCTCTCTCATTCTGGCGCACCACAACGCCTTATGTAGGGCAGGAAGCTTCCTTCCCCGGCTTCTGCACCATGTGTGTTTGTGTGTGAGAGAGTGAGTGAGTGGGCGAGGTGGGATGACGTCGTGCCTTAGAATAGTTGTCAAGAAGAACCAGAACAAGCAAGATGGCAATATGGTTGTAAGTCGCGTAACGGAAAGGAAAAATGCCCCCCGAGTGGAGATGTGACAACAATGCGTTTTTTTTTTTCCCCTCCCTCCCCTTCCCCCTCTTTTTTCCCCTGTTATTTTGTTTGCGCACCTACGAACCCTCTGCGGGTACTACTTCTGCGGATGTCCTTTACCGCGGAGGAGTCCGAGTCCGGTAGTTGCGGGGAGACCCCAACGAAGTCAGCGGTACAACATCAAAATGAGCGCTACCCGATAAGTGCAACGTCTTTTGAATATTTGTCTGAATACCTGCACGTTGTGAGGGTGCGGAAGGGGTCGCCTCCGACGTGGTGGGAAAAGCTGGGAGCACACTGAACCAATAAGTTCTCTCCCCTTCCTCTCCTCTCTTACTCGTTGTGAGAAGAAGGGGGAAAACCCCACTGCAGCTGCGCCCTTGTTTGCAAATGAAGTAAGAGTCAGCGCTGCACACTCGCAGGAAGGTACTACACACCCACAATGTGACGGTTTACTTCCATGCGCAGGGGCGCGTACGTGGAAGTGCGAGGGAACGAAAAGGAGAAGTAGAGGGCCGGCCGGCCTGTGACAGCAGCAAGAAAGGCGACGGAAGCAGTCCACTGGGGGGCGGGCGAGTTGTATCAGAACGTTCCTACGAGAGCGACAATAACAATCGATGTCGTTGCCGCTTGCCTCCCCCTAGCCTTCATCTTGTTTTACTTTTCTTCCACTCACTCTTGTCTGTTGAGTTTTGCGGGGATTTTGCTTGCTAGTCCCGTGTCGTGTATGACTCCGCACACGCAAAAAAGCATGCCGAACATTCACACCGTTCTTTTGTTTGTGTGCCTTTTTAGAAAAAAATAATAATAATAAATAAAATAAAAAATAGTTTGCTCTTGTTGCCGCTGCTACGGTCCCTGATCGGGGGGCACACGCCAACCCTTCTTTCTCTTTCTCTTTTACTTTCTTTCCATATGCATGAAGTGTTCTCTGTTTGTTCTTGCGGGTGCGCATCCGCCGTAGATGCAGCGCGCGCCGGCTCAGTCTATGGAGGCGATTGATGCATATGTTAAGCAGCTGCAGTCTGGAAACAATGACACATCACGTGCCCCGCCACTGACGGTGGAGAACCTTCTCTGCAAGGTATACGCGAAGTTTTATAATCAACGCGGCCAGGCTCCGTTTCCAGATGGACTACCATTCTCTTTGAAGCAAATACCGTCACTTGCATCTGTGGCGGTGTTGCAATCTCGCATCACGGCAATGGTTCAGAGCGCTGTGGCGACACGGCCTGTAGTCACGTTGCATGAGCTGGAGGCTGAGGTTTGTCTTGCAGAGAATGCCACGGTATACGCCGAACTCGGTCTTGGTTGTTCCCTTGCAGCGTTGCCATTTGTTCAGCACATGTTTGGTGTTAGGGTCGACACCAACCTTGCTCCTGTTACGAGTACCGAGTTTATGCAGTTTCTTCTCTTTGACGCAAACGCTCAAGGACTGCTTGCTGGCGGCGGGGACGCCGGGGATGCCGCACGCGCCTTCTCGCGTCGTTACAAGGATGGAAGGTACACCACCATGCAGCTGGGCATTCATATCCAACACTTCCCCTGGCTATTGCAGTTTGTGCGTCAGGAGGTTGGGAGAACGTCGGCCTTTTTTTTTGAGCTCTCGACAAACAACACGTGGTGCCACAAACGCAACAGCATCATTTACGAACGTGTTGCGGAATCGCTTCATACGGCGTTAATGTCTCGCTGCAACGACGCAGGGAAACAATCTCGTGAGATAAGATTTGTTGTGCGTGCCTCTCCTGAGGAGGCGCAGGGGACGGATCTTCCACCGGATATGTGGGGGTCGTGCAGTGGGCCCTCGGGAGGGTTGTCACTTCATGGCGTGCTGCGGGCTGAGCCTTTTCCGTCCCCTGCGAACGTCGCACACGGCACACACACATCAGAGGCCGACAAGGCACAACAAAAGTTACCTACACCTGTTAGTTTGTCCTCTGTCTCGGCTGTTTCTCCGCGTCCTTCTGCTTCTACAGCAGCAGCAGCAGTGATGTTAACAGGAGCACAAAAAACCATGCCAGGGATGGTAACCTGCTTGCACGCGAGAAAGCGTCGTCGTGGGGCGGTTGTGGAGGAAAGGATGGAAGTGTTGGACGATATGCCCTTACCCGCTTTGAATCCGCGGCTGCTGCACGTGGGGGGTGCATGCATAGAAAATAAAGGAGTAACAGCGGCGTCCACGTTGTTGCCGACGTCGTCGGAACTTCCTCGTATTTCTCTTGAGAAGGCGTTGTCAATATTGCGCTGCCAGGCGGCAATGCAGCCTGTGACTGGTACCGCATGTTTTGCCACGTGCGATGACTTTGCTTTATTCCGGACCTATGCCTCCAAGCTCTTGTCATACCCACGACATGGAGGAGGAGGTGCGGAGCAGTACGGTGGAGTCACGGCGGCGGGCAAGGATACTTTTTCTGTTGATTTGGATACAATTTTGCGTCTCCTCTCTCATAAGGAGGCACTAAACAGGTGGTATGCGTTCTACAGGGCTATTGTGGATTATACGAAGGGTTGTGATGAGACTGAGGACGTGACTACGACCTCTCCGGGCCGGTTACTACTTCAGTGCCTTGCATTGGGATCATCCGATTTGGTGTTTCTTCCGCTTGTGGCGACACGATCTTTGCTGCCTCTGTCATCAACACGGGATGTTCTCCCCCAGCGTGTTCTCTTGTCGGGACGTCACTCATCGGCGAATCTTCTTGTGTTTCACCCACTGCAGTATATTGTGGATCCACAACTTGAGAACGAAGAGGGCTGCGCGTTGGCGATGCTTGACGGTGAGTTTCTCCTACGCGGTTTGCATGACGCAGACTCTCAGAACGTGTTACACGACTTGCTAGAGACTCTTGAGGGCTGTGGGGTGTTAACGTCTGTACCGGAGTGCTGGTTTTGTGATGGGTTTTTGCTACAGCTTCTGCGGCGTCAAATGTGGGGCTACTTTAACAAAGCAGAACACACGGATGCGGAGGAGCGTCATATGGCGCTGCGCATGTTGTTGCTGTATTGGTGGCTCTTGGGAATATGGTGTACTGCGCCACCGTCCTCAAGGGTTGCTGCCGGGGTTGCGGAGGTTCTACAAAGTCTACGGGACGTGGTTTGGCTGCCCGCCCTGTCACGCCATGACGGTGGCAGTGATGCGGGTAGTTCTGCCTTGCGGATTGAAGGTTGGCATGCGCCCTCTGAACTTTTTCCAGCACTTCCATGTTTTACGCGCAATAATCTGTCAGAGGTGTTATCTTATGCCCCGCATGACATACGGGACCTCCTCTCCCTCTCTAAGCAGCACGCTGACAATAATTTGTTTCAGCATTTGCATCAATTTCTTGCCAGGTGGATAGACGTGGTGCAGAGTGGCACGGCAAATATGTCTGGGGATGCGCTACCTTGTCTCATGGGCATGCCTGCAGACTACACAGCTGCCCTCGCTTTGCGACTGCTAGGTTTGCTGCGGGTGGGCATGCGCATCTCACTCGCTACCATGCGGTACCTCCTACACCGCATTGCTGACACCGAGGAGGAGGATGTTCTCCTCGATGCGAGGCGACTGCCGATCATGCCACTTCCAGTGACACGTGCAGGGCTTGAAGTGAATGAGGAATTTATTGTGGGTGAGATGGCGACATGTGCGACGTTGTGCTGGGAGCCACTTTCAGGTGCGGACGGGGCATGTGGGTTCGACCGTTCCATTGCATTTATTGGCAACGATCTTCGCAACTTCGCTGTTGATGGTTTGCGCGTGTCTCCCGTTCCGTCTGTGGCAACTTGGTTGGCGGCGGCGCAGGCCTGCAGACGACGCTTTGTGGCCGGTTCTGAAATTAATGCGTCCCTCACGGACTTGTTTCTGCGAGTCTTGTCTCACTCCTGCACGACACATTACAGTTATCTTCTGAGAGAGTTTGAGAAGCAGCACCCCGAGAGTCACGGCAACGCCGCCCAGGAGGCTCTGAAGGGGGTTGTGCATCTTGCAGCAATTGACACCCGGGCGGAATACGCATTTCCCCTTCATGGTCGCTGGCGCAGCCCCGCAGAGGGGTTGTTTTACTGCGGCCCATACTATTGCGGTTTATCTGGCCTTGCACTCAGAGTTTCCACGTATCCTGCTGTTTACACCGCCAGGAATGAAAATGACGCTGTTGATGAGGATACGACGCCCGCTTTGCCTGTGCTTGCATTTACGCAACAACCGCATCATGTCGTTGCTGCTGTGTTGCAGAAGATGGGCCTTGTGGCGTTAGAGGATTGTACAGAGAAGATTGTGACATTTGACCGTATGAATGCCGCTCACAGTGCAGGACTGCACAGGAAAATTGCGGAGTGTGTCCCGCGCGTTCAAGCATTTTTGCGTACACACCACCCGCACTACTACGCCCTTGTGCATCTCCAGGTGCGGCATGCCTTGGAACATTTCAGCACGGTACTCGCGGCAGAGCCAGTCGTGCGGGAAGTGCTTCGTTTTCAAGGGCACACGTACACCATGACACGCACCGTGCGTTGCTGGTACGTGCGGCAACACAACTGCCTCTACGGTGTAGATGAAGAAATTGTCCCTTCTCTTGGGGCCGATGTGATTGCGGATGTGTTTCTTCCCTTGATGGATGCGGAAGTACGGCGAGGGCTGACATCGGCCTTGCAGGAGTGGCTGCGAGACGCCAATCTTTACTTTGATGACACCTCATTGGCCCCGTGCCTACCGACGGCGTTGGTAACATCGTCGGTCTCGGAGGAAGCCTGGCAACTCTCGGCGGCGCCGTCTGTACGTTTTCGTGATCATTTTCCCTTTGGAAGAGACGGGTTTGGCCCTACAGGAGGGCGAAGCTGTACCCTGACAGCATCAGGGGCCTCGGCGGCTTCACACGCACCGCGGATGAAGGCGTTAATGTGGGGAGATGGCGGTTATATGGCCCACTCGCTCCCGCAGTGGAGGTGTGACCTCTTTGACTCCGCATACGACGTGCTGCGCAGCATGGAGCGCGGTCGCAGCGAGGCGAAAAACGATTCAGGGGAGGAGGGCGCAGCCACGATGGTGACTCCGTCTGCCCACGCGCAGGTGCGTCGTGGTGGGCGGTCACAGCGTGTTGCCCCTGCGATGGTTGTGCAGGAGGCACGTGAGACGGCCGATTACGCCGTTGCAGCGGAACGTTTTGTCGCGGAGAAGTTGCGGGCGGAGGCGCCGCCGGGCGTTGAGGTTGTGTGGGTCAATGAGCACGGCGAGCACGGCACCCCGTACGATATTCTGCTCGTGCGTCGCACTGTGAGAGACACTGCGGCCTCCACATCGACGGAGATTTTGGCGTATGTGGAGGTGAAGAGCACCTGCACGAACGCGCGCCGTGACTTTGAGATGTCGCTGCGGGAGTTACTTTTCGCCGCGCGGTTTGGTCGGGCGTACAAAATTTACCGTGTGTTTCGTGCCTCCACAAGTGCGATGCGGAAGATGCATGTGGAGGTGTTGGAGGATGTGGTGAGGCTGTGGCGCACCGGCTCCCTCACGATGACGGGTGACGTGAAAGTCATGCTGGCGCCGGGCGCTTAAGACGGTACCAGGAGGAACAACTAATGTTTTCATGTTCTTTAAATATATATATATTAACTGAAATTGTGTTTTAATTCCTTGTTTTTTTTTTTCTTTTGTTCTTCTCACCGTCTCACTTTCTCTTTCTCTCTCTCACTCTGCGAGTCACGCTACACGCTCTTGTGTCACCATCAGGTGGAATTACTTCTGTTGCTGCTGCGGTGCTTTTTCAACTGCTCTCCCCTCGACAAGTTCTTTTTTTTTTTTTTTGTATTCACGCGCTCTCTCTCTCTCTGTGTGTGTGTGGCAGGGAACCTGTGTTTTCTCCTTCTTCTTCCCTCTTTTTTGTTTTGTTTTTGTTGTTCTTCGTTCTTGTGTTTTTCCCCTTCACCAGAAGCGTGCTTCGCGCAGTTATACATACAAGGGCAGGCACGCAGTCAATGGGCTGTACCCAGTCCGTAGGCACGAGCAACACCAGTAACGTGTTTGGTGCGACCGGACTGCATGTAGGGCGTGATGGGGATGTTGACTTAACCTCCCGCTCCATGGATTTTCTTATGCCCAAGTATGTTAATCTCATTAGGCGTGATAAGCTACACACTGCCCGTCAGCTGCATCTCTCGGATAATAATCTGTACACCCTCGGCAAGGAAATGACGCTTCTGACCGACATTGAAGAGCTTTACATTGACAACAATCGTTTTGAGCGCGTGCCATCGGTACTGAGTTTCATGGAGAAGTTGCGTTTGCTCAACGCCAGCATGAACCCGTTAGGAAAACACACACTTTCCTTGGAGGTGCTGCCACACATAAAGAACCTGGTTCACCTCACCCTGCGCTCTTGCTCGCTGAGCGTTATTCCAAGTTGCCTTCTGCGCTGCGCCGTCTTGAAGGAGTTGGACCTCTCGGATAACCCCAACCTGCAGCTGGCCGAGCTGAAGCTTTCAAACCTATCTGCACTGCAGGTTCTGCGCATTGCCAACTGCGGCATAAATGGCGAGATTCCCGCCGGCGTCAAGGAGATGACAACACTGCTGACGCTTGACATCTCGTCAAACTCCTTTAACTTTGACGCCCCGGAGTTTTTTGGGAGAAATCTGCCGCACACTCTCACCGAGTTGCACCTGCGGAGAATGCGACTTGTGGCGGTCCCGCAGGTGATTGTAGAGCTGCACAAACTCTCCAGCCTTGACCTTGCAGAGAACGCGTTAGAAACGCTGGACGTCCTTGCGGGTCGACTGGTGCGTAAACTGAGTCTATTCAATATCTCATCCGCTTTTGTCTTGAATGCCGTAACGGAGCCGAGCGACGACGCGATCAGCGTTTCCTCTCAAAGTAGTTCGTACATGAGTGCTAGTCAAATCAGCCGTGCTGGGCGTATTGCCAAAGTTGATCACCCCATCCCGCTGAGAAAACTTTGTCTTCGCGCGTGTGGGTTTCACACGCTGCCCAAGTACTTTCACAAGCTGAGAAACTTGGTGGAACTTGATCTGAGCGAGAATGAGAACCTCCAGGACCCGAACATGACCCTCTTCTCGTTTAGCAATCTGCAGGTGCTCAACATTACGGAGTGCCCGTTTGCGGCGAACCGCTCCTCGGCGAATAACGAGTGGTTTGATATCTCCAATCTCCACCGTTTGCACACGCTGGATTGGGAGGTGTGGAAGGGGACGCACAACATGAGCCCATACTGCACAAAGGTACCCCTTGAGATCTGTGGGCTGCAACTGCGGTACATCAACGGGATGAAGCTTCGTCCCAATCTCTTTGTTGGGGACACCGTTCAGACAATCGTCAACCTGCTTGTGGATGGGTACCTCAAGGTGGACCTGGCATTGAACGACGATTTAGTATTAAGCTACACTGAGGCTGTACAAGCGTTGCGCCCGCTGGAATCCTTCTTTTTTGCCTCATCGAAAAAGGATGGGGCGGAGGCCACCGTGACGCCGCCCCAGCCCCCACCAAAGCATGTTGGCACGAAGTTATCCCACGCGGCAGCCAAAAACGGGAGGACCACTTTATCTACAACGAAGAAAGTAAATGTTCACAAGGACGCTTTGCAAATAGCCATCAACCGTTACATCTTCTTTCTTACGATGCAGGCGGCAAATTACAACGCCGTTATTGTGCCACCAGCAGATGTCATGGCAATTCACTATGCCCAAATGACGCAGGATCCTATTAGTTACCGCAGCGACTGCGAAGCTATATGCGGGCAGGTGCTGAGCTGCAACTACAACCTCTACTTTCTTGAGCAGAAGCTGAGGCCTCAGACTTTGAAGGAGGCGCTGGTGGGAAGCAAGCGGGTGTGGAATATGATGGTGCGTACCACCCAGAAGGACATTTTTTGGTTACGCTACGACTTTTGGGAGATTCGTGCACAAAAAATCTCCAGAGAAGCGGCTCAAGCGCAGAATAAGACAATGCACGAGGACGGGGGCAACGAGAATATCTTCAGCGCTGCAGATACGACGCCAGAACCAGCACCAGCTGCAGCATCAGCAGCAGCACCACCACCACAAGCTGCCGCCGCTGCTGCTGCTGAAGCCATCAAGCTGCCATGCGCTCCACCGTGTAACGGTGCGGACCTTGGCAACCTTTCTGATATCGATGCTGTGGGGGATCTGCGCTCTGTGCTGGACAGCTCTATCACGACTCATTTCACCGAGAAGGGCATCAATTGCTTTGTGTCCTCGCTTGACAAATTTTTTTTCAACAGCAAACGTTTTATGGAGGATGCGGAGTTCTTCACTGGGCTCAACCTAAATTGGACGCGATACGTCAAGTATCTTGCTCTTTACGCCCACATTCAGCGCGTAAAGCAGCCAGATATGTACCAACAACGTATGCGGGAATATGAGAGTGTGGTGCAGAACAATTCCTTAGTCTCGCCGGACGCGTACTTACCAAAGCCGAAGGACGGCGGATAAAAATTTTTTGTCCATGCCATCTCA